CCTCCACACCTTCTCTTGTGGAAACTTTGGAAAGCTGAATACAGACACAGAGCCGAGTATTGCAAATTGGCAAAACACGAATCCCACCTCCACCTCAGGGGTTTTCCAAATCCTAATCCAAAATGTACTTCCTAGTCTTTTTTTTTCTTTTTTTTTTTTTTTTTTTTTTTTTTTTTTTTTTTGTCTAATTTCTTTGTAAGATTATTAAAACTTGCATATTCTTTCCTTCATTATATTTTGGCAGTTTCACTTGATTTAGGCTCACTCATGATGGTCTATGCCTGCTTATAGAATCTCAGTTTCGATATGAAGAAAATGGAAATGTAATTGAATCCTATTTACTTCACAAAAGGTCATATAAACAATTACCTATGCTTTACTTCCATAGAAGGAAAAATGAGACAAGACAAAAGCCTTCTAAATAAGAGATCCAAAGATGTTTAAAATGCTATGCGGTTTTTTTGTTTGATTTGGGTTTGTTTTTATCAGTAAGGAAATCTATAACTCAACTGACTTCCAATTACAAAAATATAAGCTCTGTTTCTGCAGTGTTCAAAAGCAGTATCATCTGCCCCAACTGCTGCTGTGTAATCTCTTTAAAATCACAGTCTTGACAGTTTGAATAATGAGACTTCTCATTAATTACATGTGACCTATTTATACCTTCTGTCAGTATCTGTTTTCTGGTTAATTTTTGCAAACAGCATGCCTAGAAACTTTCATGAAAAATAAAACTCATATATTGACTGGACATCTGAAGTCAGGCCTATGATTTAAAAACACAACAATGACTATAAAACTATCCATGGATTTTAAAGAGTTATTGACATAGAACAAATCTCTTACTTACTTAAAGTTATTTGCAAGATCTGGATGTTCTGAAAGGCAATGGAAATGCACTTCAATTAATGTGACTTTGCTATACATATTGAAATGAGATTTACTTTCATGTGATTTCTCATGGAACTTAAGCACCATATGGATTCATACAGCTAAGGCTGCAAGCTTGCAGCTTCAGAAATGTTGTACAATTCTGTCCTCTGTTAATACCTTAATGTAAAATCATGAGTAAATTACTTAATCTCACTTAATCTTGCTGTACTTACAGTGCCCTGTTTTTAAAACAGAAACTGATTATTTTCTGTATTTTGTGGGCTGCTCAAAAAGCAAGGCAAGTTAAGTTTTAGAGCAAGCTGAGATACAGCAGTGGCTGGGAGGCAAAAGGTATGGAAAGAGTGGAGATAAACAAGGCTTCTTGAAAAAGCTTCTAAAAGTAGACTTCAAAAGTCTACATACAGCAGCACGACAATGCAGGGAACACTGTCTTGTATGAAGTAATAAGCCTGAAAGAGAACTTATGTAAGTGGTTGTCTTTCTCACCTGGAATTCTCTGTCAAAGCAGGAGAAGGAAGTGATTTTGCATCTCCTGTTGCAGAATTTCCCTATTTTGTTGTAGTAATTTAGGCTCTCAAGCATGTCAGTTCAAGATGTTTGGCTCATCCACTAAACTGCCACACCCTTACAATGAAAAAAATGAACATTATGTTAAATTGTTGTTCAAATATCTTGCTGGCTCAACATTTCAAAGTATGCTTTGTGCTGTCCTGGCATTTTCATTAATTGCTAGCAAGAGTCTATAACCATTTAGGCATTTTGCTGAAATTTTGATTTTACTGCTGCCAAAGGTCTAGGTCTATTACTGAAATACAGATATCAGATATCATCATTCATAAGGTAAATGGTAACAAACTAGCAAAGCAGGGGGGAGTTCTCTGTAGCTCATTACTTTAATAAGTACAGTTAAATTTCAAGAATGAAGCAGTCCCCATATAGGCATTCACACCAACTTTTTCCATGATTCCCATGGAGGAAGCAACTGTTCAGCTTCAATATTGAAAGCTAAAAATGTTTCATGTGTAAGCATCTCATTGGTCTGATTTCTGTTCAGCCAAAAAAAATGAATTAAGCAATATTACATATCATCCCTTTCTTGAGACCTCTCCTCACACTGGATGCGAATGTTGAACACAGAGAGATCACACTGCACCTGTTCCAAAGTGACATCATTTCACTCTGGTGCTCATGGCAACCAGTCTCTTGCAAAGGGCAAAGATCTGATGAATCTAAAAGCTGAACTAAGTATCTATTTCCCTGCTAGGTATGAATAAGGATTTTCTTCCAGCTCAGAGATGTATTGTTCCTCCTATCACACTTTGGAGCCTCATCTCAAGTTGGAGGTCTAGGTTTGTATGCATCAGCACATTAACCTTTGAGGAAAAGTGCTTTCATAATCTCACATCATGAATATCTAAATGAGCTGCACCTAGACACTCCAGAATATTACAGTCCTTATAACTTTCACTCTAGTTTCTTTCATAGCCTTGGAAGGTACAGAGATACACACACATAAATGCAAATCCTGTCTATATCTCCTTATAAAGCACTGTCTTCCCCCCTTCTTCTCACTTTCCATATTTACTATAGAAGAACAAAAAATAAATCTAAGAACAACTGCTAACTGAAAAAGTAGAAAAAAAAATAAAAATTCCATTTTCTACAGACTGTATGGCAAAAAAGAAGTCCAGCTACCAGGAAGAGACAGGTGTCTTCTGAGTGACAATGGTAACATGCTCTCATCAGGGAGATCAGCTCCAAAGCTGAGTTCACTCTTTCCTGCTATACAGTATATTAATGTTTATAGGTTTTTTCTGCCTGCATGTGTGTTTTTCAAATTAAGTATTGTTAAATCTGTAAAGCTTAAAATACTGCTTCAGACACCCACCTTAGCTTCTACTTCCATTTCATATAATCTGCAATAGGTAGAGTACAGTGTCAATTACGAATTCTGCTTCTTTCAAACAGATGCAAACGGATTTAATTTTACACATGTCAGCGATGAAGGAAAATTGGAATGAATAACCACTTCAGAAAGTGGAAGGTGTAATTTTCAGAACACAGAGTAACAAGTATTTCTGCAATCTCCCTTGAGATGGTGAAGGGCATGTATTTGAAAGGTTAGGGTTTGGAGGAGACATATTTGCACATATATATATACTCAGAAAGTGATGCTGAATGCAATCCTAGATTCACCAATCTCCAGTATCAGTTTTTGCAAATGATTTTCAGTGTCTCAGGACTTCGTCTGTAGCATTAAGATTTTGCTAAAATCAACCTCTGTCTTACTGGGGAAACAACACTGCTGGGCACATTAGACATCATGCACATTGGCTAACATTTCCCTTAAAGTTTCAGCTATTAATTCTGCTACAGATAGCAGTCTTTTATTGCTCTGAATTCTTGTATGCACTTGGGGTATATGACAGAAAATCTGGATGTGAACAGGACCTGAGTTTTTGCACTCTTCAGACAAAGTTACTTTGTTTAGAGCATATTTTCCTTTCATAGTGTAGACTTTATTTTATATATATTTGTGCATCCAAAGAAGAAATACCACACTTCATACTCTCAAATCAGTGTTCCATATATAGAAAGAAATTTCAGCAAGACAATTAAATTAACTCCATACAAATGCATATATGCAGTGTAATAAAGTCCTGGACCTAAACAGCAGGATATGGAGATGAGCTCTAGAGCCCTTTAAGGTACTTGATGCCTTAATGTAATTTATGTAATTTCTCAGTACATCTACCCTTCTTTTTTTTTTTCTTTTTTGGTTTTTTTTTGGGTTTTTTTTGGGGTTTTTTGGGGGTTTTTTTTGTTTGGTTTTTTTTTGTTTTGTTTTTTTGTTGGTTGGTTTTTTCCTTGGTTGGGTTTTTTTTTTTTCTTTTTCTTTCCCAATTGGGAATAATTCAAATGAGCTTTTAGGTAGATCCAATACTGCTCTGTAGAAATTGGCAGATATTGGGCATGACCGCTCATTAAAGCTATATGCAAGAATTTGAGTAGACCTTTCCCTTGGACTTGATTCATGTGTTTCCATTCCCTGAATTTCACTTTGATTTCTAAGTTCCGCTATGTGCAGAAAACTGAAAGCCAAACTGTTGGAAGAATGTGGGTTTTTATTTATAGTGGTTTTTATTAAGAATATTTATGTGATTTCTTGAAAACATTACACGATTTGCATGAGTTCATTGTGAAAATAAAATTCAAGCTGCATTTTAGACTCTGGTCTAAATTTTGAATGTGCAACAGAGTATAAGTCATGGTGAATTTCATGCATATTGTAATGCTATTATGAATATCATGCTGCTGTGCTAGTGATTAAACACATATCTTGAATAAAGAAAGCTCTTTAAAGTCACCTTTTTGACATGTCTGAACATTGCAGACTACATAATTTTGTGACATTACTGTAAGACATCCAACTCACTACAAGTAAGAAGTTGAAGTTCTGGAGCACATCCAAAAAAGAGCAACGAAGGTGGTGAAGAGTATGGAGCACAAGTGGTGTGGAGAGCGGCTGAGGGAGCTGGGGGTGTTTAGCCTGGAGAAAAGGAGACTGAGGGCAAACTTTATCACTCTGTATGTCTTTGAGTTGGTGGTCAGTTACTTCTCTCAAGAAACGTGGTAGGAGAAGAAGAAACAACCTCAAGCTGAAAGAGCAGATGTTTAGATGGAATACTGGGAAGCTGAGGTGGTTGTCAGGCTGTCCAGGAAGTGGCTGAGTTACCATTCGGGGAGGTATTCAAAAGATGTGTAGATGAGGTGCTTAGGGGCATGGATTACTGGTGGACTTAGCAGTGTTAAGGTAACATTTGGACTTGGTGATCTTAAAAATTTTATCCAACCTAATGATTCTATGATTCTATTGTATAATAAACTCCTGTCTCCCACTATCATTCTTCATGAAACATTCCCATCAGCTGCAATGGAGTTCCATGATCAGAAAACTGTCAGAAGACATTGAATATAAATAGAATTCCAAAAATATTACTCCATCTAAGATGATACAATTGTCTATTGAGGCTTATGTACTCATAAGAAGAATATAATATACTTCCTTTTTAAAAAGCCACATTTTCCAAAGTTGAACAAGTAATGCAGCATTCAGAAATGGGTTTATATAGCATTAGTGCAACATTTCCAGTTTAAATTCAGACTAAGAGAAAGAAAGAAAAAAAAATAAACCACACAAATCCAAACACATGGTTATGAAAACATCTTTGTCAGTTGTTCCATCCATTGTAAGTCATGTAATCATAGTTGCAGCATTTTTTTCTTAAAAATAAAGCAGTCATGAATCATCTACTCAATAATACAAATCTTTCTGTTTACATTAAAAAGTTTGTCTTGAGAATTTCATTTACAGAATTCCAGGAACTACTGTGAGTACTTCTCCAATAGCATTAGTCTTGTAGAAAATGAAAAGAGTAAGGGGGAAAGCATACAACAATAGCTAGGAGTATGGGCAAAAACCTTTTGTGCAGCTCTCAGCGTGTGTGTTGACACTGTTGGTAAAGCAAAAAATATGAGGGCTTTACTTTTGGGGGATAATGGTGTTATTTGTAAAAGATATACTAGATTTTTAATAGATTTATATGTTGAGTTTCCTGAGTTTTAAAGGGCAATAGGAGAAGTCATAATTTCTCTGTTGATGTCATCCTATGGTTGCTTCCTCACTTCTGATTGTGCAAAGTGGTCCACCTCTCTCCATTCTTCCATGAAGAAGTCACTGAAGTTGCTGTAGAGACACATAAAGATGTACTAGAGGAATCTTGAAACCTATTTCAAACCTTTTCTCATCCCTGCTATGTTCAGTTCAGCTACTGATTTTCCATCATAGCACCTTCCCACTGAGCCTTTTCAGTCTTTCTGGCCCTGCTTTCTCACCTGCCAATTCTAAAGGTACCCCACCAAATGACTGCTAGGCAGTGAAAAGTTGGAATCCCACTGTTCCTAATTACTCTCATTTCTTATTTTAAATTTCTTCTTCAGCCCCATTTCCTAAAACCCACCTTCATCTAGTTGAAATCTTTTCTATTTTGGTTACAGATGTCTTCAGTGTTTATCCTGTTATACAAAGCCAGACACTTCTATCCACCTATCTGACTTCTCAACATCTGTGACTTTTTTTCATTTTTCCACCCAGTTCTTTTTCTTTTACAAAGTCTGTATCTCTCTCCATCTGTTCATCCAGTTTTTCCTTCAGGCTAGTTTTAATTTCTACTGATGTGCAGTTCTCTTAAACAGTCTGTGGTCTACCTTTGCTCCTTTTTTCTTTCAGGACAGGTCCCCAGTCCTGACCCTTGGCAGAATTTCTTTTTCCTTTGCTAGCTTCTGACTTCAGTCACTTTTAAGACTCATGGCTAACGTACTATTCTCCACCCCTAACACACATGTACCTTACTTTACTGTCTGAGCTTGCTAACATACCAGAATCATGACTTTGCTGGGCTTTCTATATGCCCATCTGGACATGATGTGACCTGCAGCACCAAAATTTTGCAACTGCGAGGCATCCGGCTCAGTCCAATGTGGGAGAATGCCTACTGCTTTTAGAAAGTTCTTGAATTCACTTTGAAATTTCTGCTTCAGAAAATAAAATAAACAGACAGTAAAAAAAAAAAAAAAAAAAAAAAAAAAAATTTTAAAAATACTGGGGGATTCAGGCAATGCAGAAGCATGAGCAGGCAAACTAAATGAACTCTGAACAGACTGCGAGCAGTTATTTGAAATTCCTATCTGTCAAATTAAAACTTAAAAGTCAGAGTTTCCACCTTTCCTGAGGTGGGAAAGTCTTCCTCCAGTAATCCCACTTTCCTTCCAGTAGCTAAGGTATCAAATTTCCCCAAAGAATAAAAATGTAGTTACCGAAAGACTGTCCCCCAGTCTGTTGAAAACATTTTTGCTTCACAATTTTAAAGCAGAGTCAGATCTCTTGATTGCTGAGCACTTTTCTGTGAAGAATACAAGGCTTTAGCAAACTGTGCATTCTCCCTGGAGGATGTAAGCATTTTCCTATTGGTGCTTTTTATGGCATACGTTATGTATTGACACAGATTAAGTTTCCCTCCTGTCTGGAACAACGCACGCTCAGGAGAGCTACTGACCTAGCAGTAAGCGTGAGCAGCTCATGGCAAGTGGTGAAGCCTAGCTCTGGGGGCTGCAGGCAGAACTCCGCTCCGCTCTGCCACTCTGCCTCTCTCCTCCTACTCCTCCTCCTCTCCCGCTCTCCTTTTCCTTCCCCTCTGTAGTCGCTGCTCTTTCCCCAGACCTCTTGGCTTTGTTGTGCTGCACGTCGGAGTAGCGGGAGGGCGATTGGCGGAACGCCGGCTCAAGGAGCGCTTCCCCGCGGCTCACGCCAACCCAGCCTCCCACGGCCGGGTCAGGAAATCGGGAAATGTGAGCGGGGCCGATGGAGGCGGAGAAGCGGGGCTGAAGGCTTGCACCGCGCTGGGTGTGACAGCGGCCAGCCGAGCGCTCCGCAGCTCCTGCGTGTCCGGCCGACAATGGACTGCTGCCGCTGGACAGCCGCTGGCACCCTGCTGCTGGCTTCCCTCGTCCTGGTAAATGCCATTTCTCTCCTGAAATATGTACCGCCCGTAGCTGATACTGTCTCTGTGTGCATATATGCGGATGGGTATGTTTTTAATCTCTTAAGATCGTAGTTGGAGAGAGTTTGTTTAGAAGTCATGTAAGTTTTATGCTCTCTACAGCACTGCAGAATTGGAGCCTTGATAGTATGGGCTGCTGCAGGTAGAACCAAGAAGATGGTGTTGGCATCTGCTTTTTAAACTTGGAGAGCTATGATCTGTGAATGGTGATTTAACTGCTCACAATTTAGAGAGGTGATGTTTCTCTGCTCTTTGCATGAAACTATATCACACTGTAATGTTCCTAGAATGTTCTTCCTTAAAGAAAAAAAAAAAAGTTTTAGTTTTGCCCATGCAAAGAAAACAGGTACAGCAGGTACTGAACTTTTTCCTGAAACCAGCTTAAATGAGCACTCATTATTTACGTACCTCATTACAGAGTCAAGTTTATACCAACCTTTGAAAGATACATTCTGTGATACCTGGTATACTTCAGGGAAGTAAAATTGATCATTGCTATATTATTTTCCTGCATACTTCCCCTGATTATCCTGATAGGATGCTTACAGCTGAGGGATGTACCTATGCTGTTTGAATGACATTAATTTTATGAGTGGTGTGTTGGCAATCAGAAAATCTGCAGAAAGGATACCAATATACATACACTTTTGATACCAGAGTCACCTTGGCATACATATGTTGCCCTTTTCTTAGAATTTGATCTAATGTAGTAGTTCAAATAGCAAAAGATCATTAAGAAATACGTTAATTTTATGGCAGCTTCCATCTTGTTTATCTGTGTCAACCAATCTATAGTAAACATTGTAAACTAATCTTAACACAATTTTTAGTAGCCAAACAGAGAGCTAAACATTAGGATAACCCTGTTCAAAATGCTTATTTTAAATTATTGTATTATTTTTAAAATGAACAGCTTTTTTGGATTTAGAGTCATGAAATACTATTTGAGCACTAGAAATAAGAATGCTATCTGGACTGATCTAAAAGTCTCACTTTGTTTAAAAGTCTATTTTCCATTTTTAAATACTGTATTCACACAAAATGGCATAAAGTGAGCATAGATTCTCTTTCATGAATGAAAATGATATGTTTATTAGCTGATGACTGTAATAAGTCAGTAGTGACTGAGACAATCCTGCAGGACTAATTTAAGGAAGATCAACAGGAGATATGACTCAACAAGAATGTGTAAAGACTGTGGGATTTGGCCCCATGTTAAGTTCATACTCATAATATTTGTATGTCACTCTGCTGCTTGTGAATTAAGTTCTCAGTCCCTGATTCGTGAAAATAAATAATGCATTCTGGTGCCAACTATTAGGCACTATATTCTACATTATAATAGTTTTTATTTGTATGACTTACCATGCCTCAAGAGATTCCCCCACCACCTCCCACCAAATCTCTTTGTACCTTAAGAATAGTGATGTGAAGCAAGCTTAACTTTCTTTTTTGAATCAGACCATTCTTTTGTTCCTTCCATAGTTCGGAAAATCTCTCACTTACTTTCAGCAGGAGATTAGGTAAACATTCCAGTATTTGACTTACAGCTTGGCTAGAGATAGGAATAAGTTGTAGGATAATTTGGTATACCCATTCCTACTGTAGTTTATTGCAGCATGAGTTCACCAAAGGCATAGATGAAAGAGTAGAAACTTTACTAAGATCTATCTAAGATCTTTACTACAAGCTTTCTACTTTCTATTAGTTGAAAGCTCATAGATGTTTTTTGAGAGAAAACAAGAAGTCATTAAATTAGGCTGTGACCTGACTGTTAGCATCCTAGATGTTATCTTTTAGCCAAGCAGACAGAATGAGTTTGAAATCTCTGACAATCAATATTTGAATTTATGTGTATTGCCTTGTATCTCTTCTAAAGACCCTATCTTTCCCACAATAACCATCACCAGCAGCTTCTTGTCATGTGGCACTTCAGTAACATCAGCAAAGTTCACAGTTGTGAGCACTAAGGTTACTCAAAAAAAAAAAAAAAACTTACAGGATTGGTCTTAGAATAATTCATCACACATTCCTAAATTTTCAGTATGACACAGTAGAGCAAAGTAGCGCCTAAATTCTTTCAGCATCCTCTCCCAGGAAGGAGGTTGCACAGCCCAGGCACGTGTACAGCCTATGTACACTCAATTAGCCTATTGCTAAGGCAATTGAGCCTTAGTGGCCTCACTGGCTGTGACCAGTCCACAGGGAGCGACAGCAATAATCCCTCCTCTTTCTCTCACTATCAGCTGCCTGGAGTGATGTAGTAGTGAGTGCAGTTCACTACTCTATTGGGGTTCTTAACCTTCTTCAGAAGAAATTGTATTCATTTTCAGTTGAGTGGTGCTTAAGTAAGGTCACTGGGGATCCCTAGTGTATTTTGTTAACTGTCCTAAAACTTGCTCCATACTCAGAGAAAGACCAGATATTTGTAGAATTTTGCTTATTGCTCCATAAACTTTTCATGTTAAGGAAATACTACTTTTAAGAGCAACAAAAGAAAGCAGGCGTTTTGTTCCAGAGATTTTCCTTTCTGTTAGTTTAAAAATAAAAGCCTAGCACAAGCAAATCACAGTTGTCTAACTCAAAGGAATGTGGCCAAACCAAAACCAGCCATGAGCTCAGCTGAACTAGAAGTCAAATCACGTCATGTCAGAAGGACATTTAAACACATTTGCATTTGTTATTTGCATCTTTTCAGCAGCATTTTTTAGCTCTTTGTTGCTCTTGTGATACTTACAGAAGTAACACTAGGGACTGTAATAAAGTACATGTGTTTTTCTGCAGGATTTCTTTCTTTTGCTGTGCTAATTTGTACATGGAAAATAGTCAAATACAATAGTTCATTCCTTCCAGGCTCTTTGGCATTACACTCCCCTATTATCTAAGTGGGTCTGTCTTGGATGACCACAAGTGCAATTAGGCTGTGAAATGAATATGTTTCTTGTTTACATCTGAATGTATAAAGCTTGACGGTTTCTCCTTTCATGTGTAGATAGGTCTACCTACTGCTGTGTCAGCTCGTCTGTCTCTAAAATTGTAGGTATATTAAGGGGATTTTTCCAGTATGAGATCCAAAGAACACAAATGTATTTTCATGCAGGATCGTGTATACGTACAGACTAGCATTTGCTCAGATTGGTTGGATGAGGATGAACTGAAATGCAGAGTTCAGCTATACAAAGCTAAGATTTATTCACATGAAAATATCTCACCATTATGGTTTGTGACCCATGCTGCCATACTTCAGATATGTCTATAAAAAAAAAAAAAAATTCTTATAGGAAGGACTAGATGCTACTTAGTATGTATGATTAGAATATCTTCCTATACTACTCTAGAATTCTGTATTAGGACATATTTTACTAACATCTTCCTTCAGATTCTCGAAGTATAAAACTTATTTCTTTTTCTACCAAGTGCAGAAGCTTGCATGAGCTAAACTAAGGTTGTGTAATGAAAGGTTTTTTTTTGTTTTGGATTTTAGTGAAAAGAAGTCAGCACTTAATGTAGCCTATTGAGCTATTGGTCTGCTTCACCAGTGTCACTAAAGTTCAACATGTTCTTTTAATGACCTTGCTAGATTCATAGGGTTGCAAAAGAATAATAAAAGAAGGTATGTCATAGAACACTGTGGAGAGTCTGAAGATTGGAATGTTGGTGACCTGTAGTCATGGATCTGTCAGCTGGACAACCTTCAGTGTTCAGAAGGTGCATGAGTCAATGTGAAGTCTGAGAAGGCCACATGACCAGACAAATAATTCTTCAGAAGAGGAGTATCAACCTCTCCATGACTAAATTTTTGCTGAAGCAAACAAAATCTTAATCCCATATAACTGTGTCATTAGGTGTCCAAATAAAACCTCATGGTTTCTGTTGCATTGTCAAATCTGCAGACAGCAGTCTTGGTTCTATTGCTTTTCTGCAGCTATTTTCTTAACCTTGCAAGAAAACTCACAATTGTATGGGAAACAATTACATGGGGGAAAAATGGGAAATTGCAGTCTGAGGAAGAAAAAAGAATGGTAAGATCATTCTTATGGAAACAATTAAAAAGCTAAAGGTATTGTGGGAAAAAAAAAAAAAAGGGTAAACATACCAACCACCAGGTGCTATGATGATGGAGAGCAGGAAAAAGAAAAATAAGTTATTTGTCTCAGCCCAAGCCAAGGACAGTTCTAAACAAAGTCTTCCTATCAGGTGGAGAGTAACTAATCTAAAAAATGGCATTAAGTGTTTATTTAATCAGAGTATTGTACTTAGTTGTGAAATAAAATTTCTTCCTAACCCTTGAAAAGGAATGGCTAATTTTTGCTGTGGGCTTCTCCAGCTTTTTGCATCACCTTATGGACAGTGGGCTTGTCTTAACAGATGGCTGGCCAGTTTTGCATACTCAAGGTGTTGCAACATGTTCTAACTCTTAGATATATGTTTAGGCAAAATGGGGGAAGTAAGCAAGTGATATACCTTTCATGGAGTGAGATCTTCTCTTAGGTGTGTTAACTCTGTGTAGTGTTGAATACAGACCAATAAAAGCCAAAGCTTAGTAAGAAATGACCACTTAGATGTCCTTCTATCTCAGGGAATGTAAATAATTTCATCATAGGTCTGAGATTTTCTATAATCCACTTTTAAGTATCCTCTTTAGAATTTAATTCTATGTATGACCACCTTCTTTTTTTTTTCTGTAATAACTGAACTTTTCCAAACTACTTATAAAAATAGCTTAATTTGGGTCAAATTAAAAGGGGAGGGAAAGCAGTCTGTTTGTTTATGAGATTTATTTATAATTTTCTTTCCAGCATATGTAGAAGTCTTAGTAGTTTTGCCACCTGTGGATTTTTTGGTCACTGTTTATAGGGGCAGTCCTTCTAGCTGTGCAGAGAAATTAGTGGTCTGTTCATTGATTCTACTGTACATTAATTTTCACATTGTTTCTACTTTAGTCTTCACTG